TTGTTGTGTGTGTGTGTGTGTGTGTGTGTGTGTGTGTGTGTGTGTGTGTGTGTGTGTGTGTGTGTGTGTGTGCTGGTAATTTGCTGGGTATTGATTTTTGAGTAACCTGAGCAGTCTAGTCAAGTGGAGGGGCCATTTATATCTGATCGCAGCACGGTCCCATTCAGCCAACATGCAGTCGGACCGTGTGTGAGACCTGTTTGTGTTTGTGTGCATTGTGTTAAAAACAGGAAACACTTCGGTGTGTGTGTGTGTGGTATTTCTACTAATTAACGTTTAATAGATAATGGACCTGCGGGCTCAGAGTGTTACAAGTGTTTTATTACAAATCTAACAGAGAGCTTTCATCTTGATTAACAGAGTTCAGAATCTTTTAGGTTTTATTTATTCAGATTCTTCTTATTGATTCGGACATTTTGTGGTTCTTTGTTCTGAAGCGTCGGCTCGGGTCTTTAACAGAACCAAATTACATCGAGCTGATACTTAACCCTAAGCCCTCAACAGAACCACAGCAGCTGATCTACAACAGAACAGGTCGAAAAGAACCGGATCGAGGCCCAGTCAGAGTCCAGAACCTCAGAGAGCTGAGCAGAGACAAAGATGGAGAAAAGAATGGGCTAAAATTCCTCCACAACCCTGAGAGACCAGACCAGTTCAGTTTATAGACTGAGCCGAAGTGGGCTTTTATTTTGAAACATTTCTTTGTTTTAGTTTTTTTACGACAATGATTAAAAAATAATAAACCAACCAGTTTAATTGTATTTAATTTATAGTTTAAAAGTCATGTGAATGGGACTGCATCACGTGTCAAACTCAAGGTCCCCGGGCCTCATGTGGCCCACCGCAGCAGTTTATGTGGCCACGCTTCAAAGATTCTTTTTTGTATTAGTTAATCTTTCATCTGGCAAAGTCCACCATGTAAAATCTTCATTTCGCTGCGGTTTCATCAGCTACATTTGCTACATTTGTACTGGGAAGTGGGAATTTCCCACTCACAAGTCGTAAATTTAAACTAGAATGCCCCTCCAGTGGGAATTCCCTGTAGGAAAGTGGGAAAGTTCAGATTTCAAGGTGGCAGCTACTCACCAAGGTTATAATAGTTTTGGATTTTTCATTATAGTTTAGTTTTATTTTGTTTTG